TGAAGCAATCAAGAACCTTACACCGAAACCAAAAACGCCGGGGACCCCAACTAGCATTGATCCTTTCATCCCAGTCAACTTCGACGCTGGAGTTAACGTTYGTTACAAGTTTAATAAAGAACCATACAAGTATCATACCGGCAGTACCCTTGTCAAACTCCACGATACCGCTGGAACCCCTGGATTTTGAAACTACGCTCGCGACACCAAGCACTTATCATCCGGTTTTGTCGCTCGTGACGGTTCCTATTTCGTCTTAGTTGACCTTGGACCACAAAGCGAAAAGAACTTTCGAAACAACGTCAACAAAATGACAGGTGAAACATCTTACGAACTCTACAATTGGTACACGTGCTTTACAACCCATTGCGCCCGCTATGGTAAATACTGTCACCCATACCCTTGCTTTCGTTCCGAATGTACACACCCCCGCGGCTTCACCATCGGCATGGACGACGACGACGACCTTCACTCAACGTTTGAAACAAAGATATCAACGGACTCGCGAATCATATGGGATGTCCTTCACCAAGCTTGTGCATCTCACAATAAATTTCGCCACATCGTCGAACTCTATGACGGACACGGATACGAAGCATTGAAGGCAATTATCTGTTCAAATCACCCTTATTTGATTGAATCCCCGTCCTCATTGGTTACAATGCGTCCCACCCAAGGTTCACTCTCCCTCATGGAATATTGGAAGAAATACAACCATTACATCATGCTCCAAGGTCTAGTCGAAGATAATCCACAAACGGTTTACAACAAGAACGAACGAGAACACTTTGTCAGTGGCTGCAAACACTCGTCTTTCMTTCAAACAGAAATTMGCCGCAAACAAGACTTTACGCACCTCAAGCACAAATTTGAACCATCAAACTTTCTTGCTACCCTCCAGCAATATTTGAATCTTCCAAATAGTCCCGCTTTTGCTCAACCACTTAACAAAAATCATGTTCGCAAAGTCAACCCGAATGTCTYGACTTACAACCAATCTGGACCCCCAATCAAAACGACATCGATAAACCAAATTCAAACCATCGATGTTGATGACAACTTTCTTGACCTCGCCTACTCCATGACGATCAATCAGATCAAGGCCAACCCGACGTCATTTAATAAACCGTGCCTCGTTTGCAATATGATGACCGGACAAACATCAAATCATACATTCGAACATTGTCCAATCCTCCAACAGTCAAATTTGCTTCGCCAAAACTTTATCAATTTTTGCCAAATGTACAAACAAGCACAAAACACTTTAAACAAAGTGAATGCCTCGATTAATCATGTTCAAGCATCTCTGCCAGTGGAAGACACACAAATCATCATTGAGAACGCTACCACCCCGTCAGAATCGGAAAATAACACAAACACGGATTTTGTACAGGGCGGACGATAAAATCGGACGATCCATGCCCTCCCCATCATCCGTGCCCTCCCCTGTATCTGTCAACCACTCCCRTTCTTCATATGCTGAACTCACTCAATATCATGCATATGTCTTTTCTCCCCTCTCCTGACACTGTATGCGATACGTCATCCCCGACTAATACATCCAAACTAAAAGTCCCGACGTACCCGCATCATGCTTTCCTACCCAAACCTGAAAAAGGACCTGATACTCCCTACGAACCAACTTCACCTTCTTCATTAAACGTTGTCAACGTCCATTCCACTACATCCACGACACATCCTATACCGCCGTCTACTG